TAGGATATATTTTTCTAATGCACCATTGGTTAAACTTTTTTGATTTTCCTAATTAATTAAAAAAATGTATTTGTAAAATTGATAACTGTTTAATTAAATTTTATTAATCTTAAGATTATATTCCAACTACAATAATTAATTTACCGCTGAAATATTATGGAAGTGTTGGAATGCCTATGAAAATTTCCTAAAAGGGCTTTAGAATAAGCTAGGATTACATAGTACCTTATGTTTAACAGAAGTGTCCACTTTTTTCCTAATTTTTTTTTATATTAAAGAAATAATGTAAATCAGACGACTAGATCTAAAGTTATAATCTGTTAAACTGTTAAAAATCATTTCGGGCCATGTTTTATTAATCAAATTTAAACATAAACATTAATTTCTTCAAATTAACATATATTTTTTATTTATTATGAAAAACCGGTTAACCGGTTTTTTCTGAATTTGAAAAATATCAACCGGTTTTTTTGAAATGTCAACTATTCGAACTATTCGAAAACCGGTTTTTGGAAAATGTCGAATAATCGATCACCCTAGTAACTACTTAAATTGGTTCATTGTTAAGTGGAGGAAGGCAGGCGGCAGTTAGTGATATAGTGATACGAGTATGGAAAAGGCAGATCATAATTTATCATTAACTTGAGGTTGTTTTAAATGTTGCAGAAAACAGCAAGATACATCTTGCAACCAAGATATCTTATAAATTGTGAGTATTTTTTTTTCGATTTATAGAGGTTGCTGTTGCAGTATGCAAACAATTTGTTAATTTTTAAAACCTACAAGCAATTAATTTTGAAATAGACAAAACATATGTTTTAACAAAACTATGGAAAATTAGTGAACATAAATATAAATTAGGAAGTTGCTAAAGCTATACTTTTTCATTCATTTAGTGGATCATTCGAAATAATTATTTAATTCTAAGGCTTTTATTCAGTTTTAAAGAGAGTTTAAGTCTTTTCTTTCTTTGCACCACTATAGTGGGAGAGGGTAATATGTGATTGTGCTAATGTTTGTAACGCATTTATAGGCTCTATATCAAACATGAAAATCTTAAATTTTGAAATAGTACTAAATGTATTTTATAAAAAATATTATAAACATAATACAGATTATAGACTAGACTATGGACAGTTTACTAGACTAGACTATAGACTAGACTATAGACTAAACTATAGACTAGAATATAGACTATACTATAGACTAGACTATAGACTAGACTATAGACTAGACTATAGACTAGACTATAGACTAGACTAGACTAGACTATAGACTAGACTATAGACTAGACTATAGACTAGACTATAGACTAGACTATAGACTAGACTATAGACTAGACTATAGACTAGACTATAGACTAGACTATAGACTAGACTATAGACTAGACTATAGACTAGACTATAGACTAGACTATAGACTAGACTATAGACTAGACTATAATACAGACTGGGCTATAGACTAGCCTATAGACTGGGCTATAGACTAGACTATAGACTAGACTATATACTATACTATAGACTATAGATTAGACTACAGACTGGGCTATAGACTAGCCTATAGACTAGACTATAGACTAGACTCGACTGTAGACTAGACTATAGATTAGACTCGACTATAGACTAGACTATAGACTAGACTATAGACTGGACTGTAGACTATAGTCTAGACTAGACTATAGACTCGACTATAGACTAGATTTTAGACTCGTCTATAGACTAGACTATAGACTAGACTATAGAATAAACTATAGACTAGACTATAGACTAGACTATAGAATAGACTGTAGACTAGACTATAGACTAGACTATAGACTAGACTACAGACTAGACTATAAATTACACTATAGACTAGACTATAGACTATACTATAGACTAGACTATAGACTAGACTATAGACTAGACTAGACTAGACTATAGACTAGACTATAGACTAGACTATAGACTAGACTATAGACTAGACTATAGACTAGACTATAGACTAGACTATAGACTAGACTATAGACTAGACTATAGACTAGACTATAGACTAGACTATAGACTAGACTATAGACTAGACTATAGACTAGACTATAGACTAGACTATAGACTAGACTATAGACTAGACTATAGACTAGACTATAGACTAGACTATAGACTAGACTATAGACTAGACTATAGACTAGACTATAGACTAGACTATAGACTAGACTATAGACTAGACTAGACTATAGACTAGACTATAGACTAGACTATAGACTAGACTATAGACTAGACTATAGACTAGACTATAGACTAGACTATAGACTAGACTATAGACTAGACTATAGACTAGACTATAGACTAGACTATAGACTAGACTATAGACTAGACTATAGACTAGACTATAGACTAGACTATAGACTAGACTATAGACTAGACTATAGACTAGACTATAGACTAGACTATAGACTAGACTATAGACTAGACTATAGACTAGACTATAGACTAGACTATAGACTAGACTATAGACTCGACTAAACTATAGACTCGACTAAACTATAGACTCGACTAAACTATAGACTCGACTAGACTATAGACTCGACTAGACTATAGACTCGACTAGACTATAGACTCGACTAGACTATAGACTCGACTAGACTATAGACTCGACTAGACTATAGACTCGACTAGACTATAGACTAGACTATAGACTAGACTATAGACTAGACTATAGACTAGACTATAGCCTAGACTATAGACTAGACTATAGACTAGACTATAGACTAGACTATAGACTAGACTATAGACTAGACTATAGACTAGACTATAGACTAGACTATAGACTAGACTATAGACTAGACTATAGACTAGACTATAGACTAGACTATAGACTAGACTATAGACTAGACTATAGACTAGACTATAGACTAGACTATAGACTAGACTATAGACTAGACTATAGACTAGACTATAGACTAGACTATAGACTAGACTATAGACTAGACTATAGACTAGACTATAGACTAGACTATAGACTAGACTATAGACTAGACTATAGACTAGACTATAGACTAGACTATAGACTAGACTATAGACTAGACTATAGACTAGACTATAGACTAGACTATAGACTAGACTATAGACTAGACTATAGACTAGACTATAGACTAGACTATAGACTAGACTATAGACTAGACTATAGACTAGACTATAGACTAGACTATAGACTAGACTATAGACTAGACTATAGACTAGACTATAGACTAGACTATAGACTAGACTATAGACTAGACTATAGACTAGACTATAGACTAGACTATAGACTAGACTATAGACTAGACTATAGACTAGACTATAGACTAGACTATAGACTAGACTATAGACTAGACTATAGACTAGACTATAGACTAGACTATAGACTAGACTATAGACTAGACTAGACTATAGACTAGACTATAGACTAGACTATAGACTAGACTATAGACTAGACTATAGACTAGACTATAGACTAGACTATAGACTAGACTATAGACTAGACTATAGACTAGACTATAGACTAGACTATAGACTAGACTATAGACTAGACTATAGACTAGACTATAGACTAGACTATAGACTAGACTATAGACTAGACTATAGACTAGACTATAGACTAGACTATAGACTAGACTATAGACTAGACTATAGACTAGACTATAGACTAGACTATAGACTAGACTATAGACTAGACTATAGACTAGACTATAGACTAGGACTATAGACTAGACTATAGACTAGACTATAGACTAGACTATAGACAAGACTATAGACAAGACTATAGACAAGACTATAGACTCGACTATAGACTCAACTATAGACTCAACTATAGACTCAACTATAGACTCAACTATAGACTCGACTATAGACTAGACTAAAGACTAATAGAGTAGACTATAGAATACTATGGCCTGTTCTATCATATTTCATATAGTTAAGACTATATTATATATTTTTCTATAGAAAAGACTATATACTTTTATATAGTCAAGGCTATTGACCTGCTCTACTGTAGGCTGCTATATAGTGAAGAATATTGACTGTTCTCTAGTCTAGATTATAGATTGTTCTTTAGCGAAGACCATAGACTTTTTAAAGTCAAATTTATTATAAGAAAAAAATAAATTTAATAAAGAAACAAAAAAAAAATTGTGCTATGTAGTTATGTATTTCAAATCACTCACCTTTTTCTTCTGTTGTTCATATAACGATATTCTGTCTGTATTTCCTTGTATACAAAAACAACATTTCCATTTTGCAACACATACATACATATGTATTTACATACATACATGCCCACCAACTCTGTTTCTTTAAATTTTTTCATTTTTTTCACACCTTTTCCTCTCAGACTTTTTTTCAAACTATTATCTTTTTTTTCCAAACTCTCCCACTTCCCCCTCAGATTAACTCATTCTCATCTCACTTAACAAACGAATGACTCGAGAAAAGAAAACCACACTCCGGCGCTCTGCCTAACAAAATTGCATTGAATTTTTGGCAAATTTTAAAACACTTTCTTAAACTATTAATTCAACACATTTTTATAAACATTTTGCCATAACGGTATTTATAAACAATTTTCAACAAAAATATTTAAATATTAACAATTAATTAACGCTTTAGATTAATTTAAACAGGACTAGTAACACTAAACAACCGAACACTTTAGACATTTTTAGCAACTAAAGAAGAAAACAGATAAATAAGAAGAAACAATTGGTAATAGAAATTGTCATTGTTGTTGTTATTATTAGTACTCCATTTAAAGAGCAAATATCTAATAAGAATAACAACAACTGCTATAAGTGATGGATGCTTTATGTTGTTGTTCTATTTCATTAGTTTTCTTAACATTTTTGTTTAAATTAAGCTAAAACGTTAATTAATTGTTAATAATAAAATATTTTTGTTGCATAATATTATATAAAAGTTAATTTATATCGTTATATAAAAATTTTTATGAAAAAAGTTTTAGAAATTTGTGAGAAAAGTGTTATAAAAATGTGCAATTTGCCAAATTTGTTAAAACAATTGTTAGAAGGTGCTCGTTGTTTCTTGCTTTCCATAGCCATTCGTAAACAGCTAAACACGTAAGAGAGTGTTGTTGAGTGGGAGTGTAAGAGGGGGTATATGTTTATTAGTAAATCATTAATATGTTGTTGTTATTACATTATTACAATTATTTAAAGAAATTGTATGTAAGCAAAATGTGAGAAAAATTTAATTATTGTGATTAGCTGTGAATAGCTGTGAATAAAGAGACAACTACAACAACAACAAGTAAGAGTGTTATATTCGGCTATGCCATCAAACCTCGTTTGACTCGAATGAAACTTATGTCGAATTTCATCTATATACTCGTATTTTTAGGCCAGTTATAAGCGTTAAAGTAATTTTCTGAAGGGGACCTTATATAGGGGGGTAGGGTCAATTATGGGTCGATCCTCATAAAATTTGGTTCGTATTAAATTTATTTGTGTCGAATTTCATCGCTACACTCGTATTTTTAAGCCATTAATGAGCGTTGCAGTCATTTTCTGGAGGGGACCTTATATGGGGGGTAGGGTCAATCATGGACCGATCAACATAGAATTTTTTAGATAGATTTTGACTCATATGAAACTTACTTATGTCGAATTTCATCTATATACTTGTATTTTTAAGCCAGTAATGAGCGTTAAAGTCATTTTCTGAAGGGGACCTTATATGGGGGGGTAGGGTCAATTATGGACCGATCCTCATACAATTTTGCATAGTGATTTTGGATCACAAGAAACTTACTTATGTCGAATTTCATCGTGTTTTTAAACAAGTTATGGCTGTTAAAGCTGCTTTTCGAGGGGCCACTTGTATGCGGGCTATCCGAAAACGTGGACCGATATTGCCCATTTTTAAGCCCAAACAAACCTTACCTATAAGAAATATTTATGTGAAATTTCAACCCTCTAGCTCTTTCCATTCGTACTCTATCGTGCTTTCAATAGACAGACAGACGGACGGACAGACATGGCTAGATCGTCTTAGAATTTAATGAGGACCCAGAATATATATACTTTTGTGGGTCTATGACCAAAATTTCGATGTGTTACAAACGGAATGACAAAATCAATATACCCCCCATCTTTTTTGATGGTGGGTATAAAAATAAAGGTAAGTAATCTCTATACCATGCTTGGGAAGTTTGAAGTTTTAAAGTACTAAATTTATTTTCAACTATACTATAGGCCAGACTATAGATCGGACTATAGACTGGACTATAGACTGATGTATAGACTGAACTTTAGACTGATCTATAGACTATACACTAGACTATAATATAATATATATATAGGGGGTGTGATGTATCTGTCTATAGTTTAAGGCATATTATCTCAACCTGCGGTTACGATAGCGGTCAAAATAACGTTACAATAAAATATAACCAGACAATTGAGAAAATGTATACAATTTATAATGAAAAACTGTACCTTAAAAATTGAAACCCGCATTAAAACTACATAACTAGAAATGCAATTTTACAAGTTCCCAACTGTTAATGACCTACATTTATATTAATATATATATACTATATATAGTTCTATGCACATATTTAAAAATTTCATTATTAATTATTATCTAGCCGTTAGAAGTCGAAAGCCAATGAAGTTCATAATTTTAGTTGTTATTATTGCATTTTATATAGTCAATAGCAATGCATTTGGTAAAAATTAAATAAAAATCTTAATTTTCATATTTTTCAACATTATCTGTTTACAGTTATACAAACCAATAATACAGAACGGGTGGTTGGTGGACGAGATATACCCAAGGGAGAATTTGTACCGTATCAAGTTTCTTTACAATACTATATGTCAACGAAAAATTATAAACACTATTGCGGTGGTTCTATTATATCGAAAAATCTTGTTTTAACTGCAGCCCATTGTTGTGATGGACTTCAAGTGGAGAGAATGTCGGTTAGAGCTGGCGTTCGTGATTTAAGTGAAAATCAGGGCAAACGTTATGCAGTAGCATTCTATCAGATTCATCCTAACTACAAAGAATTTGAATCGAGCGATATAGCAATTATAAAAATTATAAATAATTTTGACTTAAATAATATTAGTATGGCCGCTATTGATGTGTTTAGCGCCAAAAGAATTGCGGGTAATGTTGAAGTAACTTTAACCGGTTGGGGTCTTCGTTTACCCATACAACTTCCTATATTTCAAAGTCAATTGCAGAATTTAAACTTTCCAACGGTATTGCAAACAATGAGTTATAGTACAATTTCGGATCGGGAGTGTAGAAATAAGGGTATAGATCGTTTATCGAAAACCGAAATTTGTGCTCAGGGGTTTTTACTGAAAGGTGCCTGTGTGGTAAGTATATAAATATGCCTAAAGTGTTAATGTAGTTCTCAAACTTTACTGTTCTTTTCCTTTTAGGGCGATTCCGGTGGACCTTTAGTGCGATATGAGGGCAATCGACTGCAACAAGTGGGTGTAGTTTCATACGGTTTCTTTGTATGTGGTGTTTTTGATGTACCCGATGTTTATACTAGAGTTTCCGAGTTTTCAGATTGGTTGCAACAAAATATAGCCCGGAATTCCTAACGAAATTTTGATATTAAAATTTCAATTATTTCCATTCCAATCGACGGACATAGTGATGCAAATCGATGTTTAATTATGTTTTAAATTAACTATATTGTTAATTCAATATTAAAAACATGATATTATTTAAAAATTTCTAAAGTAAAAAAATATTAATCATCTTGCACTTCTTCAATTACATTATCATTTATGGGTTCTGCCTCAACATTCTCCTCAACAATATGATCGTCTTCTATATGTTCGAGTTTATTAAAAATTTCATCAGCTTTTGGGTTCTCATCATGTGGTTTTTCTTCATTACGACCTTGCTGATCAACTGGGTGAGCCGTCAATGAAAGATTAGAAGCTGGAGAACAGGGATCTTGTAACTTTTAATGAAAAAATATGTTTAATTAACTAATAAACTTGATTTCTATATTAACTATATATAGTATTTACCTGTTTCTCTTCATCGGTCTATTATATAAATTGGAAAATTAATTATTTAATTTAAAGATACAGAATAATTATTAGTAGTTTGATGAAGTTTATTGAACCCTACAACATTTTCACTTGATCTACACTGAAATTGTCATTAAATTTGAGATGAGTTTTTTTTACCGATAAATGTAAGTTCTGTCTCGTAGGATATAATAAATTTGCTATATATAGTAAAGAAAAGTTTTATATCGACATATTTAAGCGATCTATTGCCATAATGAAAAACCAGCTGCAAAGCTGGTATTTGCATAAGCAAATACTCGTTAGTTAGTAGTTAGGTTTTTATGAATAAGGTCGTAATACTCTGAAGAAATGCTTGCAATAGACCGGTCCATCCTTAGTAATAAGCAAAATGGAATTAGGTTTACATAGAATTTATGACGAGTTTCATTAACCTTATAGGAACTAGTCCAATTTTAGTTTAAATTTTTTGTAAGTTTTTTGGTTTGCTTTGACCTATGGAATACGGACATAATGAAATCGACTCAGAATCTTTATTATTATAAAATTTTTTAAGAAATATTGTAGGACATTTAACTTCTTAATTCTTTATATCTTTAAAATCATTAATGCAAATAGGATTATAAATAAATCTTGGCAAAACTTACATTTTTAACAAGGCTCATATGACGTCGGAAAAATTGTTGTATTTTGCGTGCAGCCATTTCCTGTTGCCTTAGATCTTGTTCAGTTTCTGGGCGTATGATTGAAGGGGGTTTGATCGGCTCATCAAGGAAAAGAGATCTTCTTGTTAAGAAACCACGGAAATTGGACTGCAAATAATGTTTAATTTCAATTAATGGGTTAATTAAATAATATATAAAGTATTTGTTTTAGAATAAGTTGTAGTAAAGTAGAAATATTTAGGAATTAATTAGAAAATCAACAAATTTATAAGTTTTTGATAAGGGGAACGAATTACCCAAAAACTTGCAAGTTGTGAAACAAAATTTGATTTGAAAAAGAAATTGTGTATATCCATATTTATATCCATATCAAGGCTTTGGTTAAGAAGGGTTATACACCATTGTGATTTCCTTCAAAGAGTAAAGTTTCAAAATCAGAGAAACAAAAAAACAAGCACACCAGAAAGAAAGAAGAAGATAATTAGAAAGGATAGATATAATTACCAAAACAGTACCCTATGAGATGAGAGAGAAAGTCTTTGTCCCTCTATAAAGCCCAGCCGAAGAAGTGACTTATATCTTAAACTACGAGGGTCTAGGCCCGCAATATCGCCCATTTAGTCAAGGAAACTATTCCTCAGCCTGGCATTCTGTATCCTAGGACAGAAGCAAATTAGATTCTTGAACGACTTTATTTCCACCTCGTTCTCGCATAACCTACAGTAGTCCGGTATATCGCTGCCCCACTTACTGACAAAGGCCCTAACTAAGTAAAGCCCCATTAGCATCCCTGTCAGAATTGTTAGACTGCATCTATCCAGTTCTCTAAATATTTTGGTTGCCCCCATATCAAGTTTTGGCCGTAGAGCCATTTATACTTTGCAATCCAATATATACTATTCCAGGACTGGTTTATGATGTCACAGATTCTTTCGAATATAAGCCTATAATAGTGACAAATAGGTGGTTTTACCATCCTTTCTTTGTCATCTATATCAATATTCGAATCTAATCAGTTCGTCCGCACCCTCATGCACATTATAGTGTCCTGGCACCCAACACAATCTAATGATAAACAATCTCATAATCTCCCTAAGGGCATTTCTTCAATCTACAACCAGGCGCGAATGTACCGTTTGACAAGTCAATGCGCTGAGAGCAGCTTGACTATTAACATAAATTGTCACAACTAATCCCTGATCGATATGATTCCGTATCAGTTCCGTCGCTTTCCAGATCGCTAGGACCTCTGCTTTGAAGACACTACATTTGTCAGCTATATAAACACAGGCACCCGTGCCGGTATCCATCTTGGACCCGTCAGAAAAAACTGCACACCCATCAAACAGTCTATCGGATACCAGCCAATCGTCCCTAGTTGGAAATTCTATCAGAGGTGTTTCCCCGAAGTCTAGAGTCGTAATATCATAATCCGTAATTCCGCGAGGGACCTACTTCGTAGTATTTTGTATGGTCGTCACGTGAAGGTTTGACTAACGAAGACTCGTAGGGTCTTAGCAGATTCCTAGCCGCCACGCCCGCGACAAAGTGTTCTATGCTTTTCTGTACTTGTTCATTAGCATTTTTACTCATTATGTTAACACGGTGATGACATTGGAGGTAAGTACTTACTACGTTCGCTTACAAATAACTACTTAAATAAGTACATACTTTATACTAATTAAACTTAAATTAGCTCAATTTCAGTTTATGGACCTAATAGATCACATATGAAGTTTATAGGATTATATAGACAAACCTGTATTTTAACAGCCGCCTCTATGCGTAACTTTTCTTCCATGCGTTTTATTTCTCGTTCTCGAAAATATTGATATAAACTATCGGTGCCCTCAGTACTCTGAAAAAAATTGTTATTCATTGTTATTCATATAAGTACCTTACAAATTCATTATTACTTACATTCTTAGCAGTCATATAGGCATTTACGAATTTCTGATAGGCCGCTTCAATAACTGGTCTGGAAACTTTCAATTCATCATCGGTAAATTTACATTTCTTTACTAGTTGATCTAGCATATCGGATTCGTTAAATTTAATAATCTCCTTTTCCTTTCCCATTTCACAACGACGTTGGGCCAAAAAACGTCGAAAACACTCTTCCATAGCTTCACACATATACTCGATCTTTTCCTTGGGTATATCACAAATACACATATCGCCAATGACATCATCGACAATATGTAAGGCTTGATTAATTGCAGATTTGGCGACTTACAAAAAAATAAAATAAAATAATATAATATATAGCAATTTTTTGTTAAATACTAATTACTTCTTGCTTTATCCCGTGCCACTATCACAGAATGTAAATAATCAATTATAAATTGACATAAACATTCAGTTGTCGGTTGACATCTTAAAACTTCTCTTGTTATATCCGATAATAACTCGGGAAGACCCTCCGGTACATTTATGACTTGTGATCTTAATTTACCGCGTTGTATTAGATGATGCATTTTATTTGAATTTTTTTTTTTTTCAGAAAAGTGATTTTTATTTGACAATGTAAAATATTTAAATTAGGGTGAACACTTTTCAGTTTCAAAATTTACTCCATGAAAATCGGCATAATACAATCTTTAACTCGGTGAAATTTAAACATAATTTTTTAATTTTTATAAAAGCTTTTGATCAAATTTCAGTTACAAAATTTCAAAATTTATTAACAAAATAATCTTAAAAAAGTCAATTTCAATTAAAAATTTATTTTTATTGAAATAAATAAATTTCAAAATAAAAATTTGAATTATTTTTCGAAATTTTTTACTATTCTATTTTTCAGATTCGAAATTTATTAAAGAAAAAAAGAAAAATAGTATATTTTTATTCTTTCTAACATTTTTTTATGTTGTTCTAAATATTTTTTTGCAAATCATAGAACAATTTTGAAGTAAAAATATTCTAAAACAAATTATTTAATGAGCTAGGTGCCACACCCACATTAAAAATAAGTATTAAAAATCGTATATATATGACACTTTAATAGCTTAGAATCCTTAAATTTTGCACGGAAAATTCTGACATCCATTTACACATTGAGAAAAAAAATTGACCAACTAGGGCGGGGCACCTGTCATTTGAAAAATGTTGGGTCCTATATTTATATTATATTTTTCTAATTGAGCTTTCGTTAATTTTTTTTCTTGATTCTACACTAATGAAGACCATATCACTATCACTATTTCACATCCATACATGTCCAATACTCGACGGAAATGGAAAAGTACCCCTATTGAATTAAACGAAGAAGCTAAACAGCTTCTAGAAAATGAAAATCTGCCTTATTTAGAAGAAGTATTTACTAAAAAACATAAAATATTATATAATACAAACATACGACTTTTTCATTACAACTCTCGAAATTACCTTTATCATTAAAATTCCTTTACCGAACCTTTACTTTTATGTTTAGAAACGATTACCAACCTTTTAAATATAATTTAAGTTATAGATTTTTGGCCGCCATCTCGTAGAATGGTCCACTGTCGGTTGGAAGTCCCCAAAAAATACCCATTTTTAAATTAAAATCCCTATTTGAGTATTCAAACTCTAAAATGGCTAAAAACACACCACAAATGTTGGCAGATAATAGATTAGAGGCATCAAATGTTGAAATTTTTCATCGAATAACTCAAACTCTGAAGCCTAATTTTATAATTTGGGATCATTGTAAATCGGTTTACATAATTAAATAGAGAAACTAATAGGACAATATCGCTGATTGCATTAAATACCCATGGAACAGCATTTCAAAGTATCATACAGCATGTACTGTATAAAACATGAAATGTGTGCAAGTAATGTTAAACAGGGCGACACAAAGAAACAATTAAGTTTTTAAACTACACCCTGTAGGTTGCAACTTTTTTTAAAAAAGTGTCTGTTAATATCGCTTTAAACATGTTTTAAATAATTAATACTAATTATATAAGCTCTACAAAAATCAGTCCCTCAGAACGACGCGGATGTCATAGTTTTTGGCAAGTGAATAAGAAAGTTAACAGTTAATAAACAAATATTTGTAATTAATCTTATCATACAAAACAATAGAAAAAATGCTTAAAATTTTATTTATCTAAATAATCTCAACCACATTTGATTTGGCTACTCTGGATTCAACAATAATCGTATCTTGTCGTGGCTTACGAGGTTTAAACACTTCTTCCTTTGGCTCATGTTGTGCCATATGACGTCTCAGACGAGTCGAGTTATTAAATGCTTTTTCACATTTTGTACACTGATACGGCAGTACATCTAAATGTAAGCGTTTATGGGCAGCCAAATTACTCGAAATACGGAAAGGTCGTCCACAAATATCACATTTGTAGGGATATTCATTTGTGTGTAACAGCATATGACGTCTATAGCCAGACATTTGTGTTAAGCCTTTACCACAAACTTCACACTGATACGGTTTTACATCTTCGTGTGTCATCATGTGTACTTTTAGAGAATGACTTTCACGATAGGATTTCCCACAAGTACCGCAAATGTATGGCCTTTCTCCCGTATGCAGCATAAAATGTAGTTTCCTTTGTTCGGCTGTATGAAAAGATTTATCGCATAATTCACATGCATACGGGCGTATGTTACTATGTTTACGTTCATGAACTCGCAGACTAGTCGAAGTACGATAATGTTGACCACATATGGAACATTTATAACGTTTTTCATCGCTGTGCGTTAACATGTGCACATTGTAATGGGTTTTTGTTCGAGATTTTTTGCCACAGATTTTACATACATGAGGTTTTTCTCCGGTATGCACATAGCTATGCTCTCGCAGACGACACATTTTATCGAAAACTTTGCCACAGTATTGACATGTTAAATCGGCTTCCGTTAGTGTGTTTCCCTGAAAAGATGAATATTTAATTATAAAATACATTATAGAAAACTACTACAAAAACCATTCCAACAAATGGAAATCGATGTTCAAAGGATATATTTAGATATTCATTTTTCAATCTATGTATTTTAAAAATTACAATTAGTTCTTTGTTATCAGGGACCAAATTCTGGCATTGAAAGCGATCGAAATTTCTAATAAAATATTTAAAAATTCCATTGAGATTTCGTTCGCTTTCGAATGCCAGAATTTGTCTGCAGATTCTGAATACTTAAAGACTTTTAAGAATGCAAAACTATTTATAGAAAGTAATTTGGAATAGTTATAATTAAGAATGTTATCTATAGGCTCTATTAATATTAAGGAATTCAAAATATTGAACTAAACATTTCTATCTTTAAAATACAACTTACCTTTAAAGATTTTCTTTTAACAATCTTTTTTGCTTCTTTTACTTTTGATTCTTCTTCCAGTACCTCTACTTCACAATTATCATCTTTCTCTTCCATTTCCTTAGAATCATCAAATCCTTTTAGTTCCTCCTCGCCTGCTTCACTATCATTTACAGTGCTTAAAATATATTCACTATTCTCATCGTCTGCTTCATTTTTAACCAATATTTCTTCACTATTACTTTCTTCATTCTCAATACAGTTACTACTTCTTGAATCATCCATTGCTCGTTTATTATTTTCTGTATCAGATTCATCTATTTCCAGCCATTCCTCATATTCATATTCTGCTTCCACATTATTAACTTCTATAACTTCACCAGTATCTGAAACATATTCTTCGGTATTTTCCGCATTCTCCTCAGCTCCTCCTACATCGATCTCTTGTTCAACAATTTGTTCCTCCTCCTCAATAACTGTATCAACAATTTCTTCCTTTGTATGTTGAACTTCTGCCACCGCCTGTAAACGTTCTCTATACGCCCGGTCATTTTGCAAAACCATTTCTTTAAATAGATATGATTGCAGTAAGTGTTCCACACAGCTATTGCAGATGTGTTCAGGCATGCCATTCTCATGATTTTCTCCAAAACACTCCAATGTGGTACAATAGTGTAGTAAAGCAGCCAATGTGGTTGATTCATCATCAATAACCGTCTCGTCCAGTAAATGTTTGTAATCACCACATTCTCGATTACATGCCCGACAATCAACTTTAAGTACTAAAGTCATTTTTATTATTTATTTATGTGATTAGTTTTATATTTTTATTAAAAAAGGAACAAAAATGCAATTTGTTTAACAAGGCTTTAAATTAATTTCATCAGCTGTGACGACAAAAGCGTTATCATTCACAATAACGTCGACAGAGTTGCATTGTTTGTTTATCAACAAACATTAAAAACCAGAGGTGGAGAAAGTTCGATAAATAATTCTTTTAGAAAGTTTTTCTTAATGTCCGCTTCTAATCAAAACTAAATAAATAAAATAATAATTAACATTATACAGTAGGACCTTGATTATCCGTAATTCGATTATCTGGCAACATCAATTATCAGGGATGGAAAAATAAATTTTTTGTATATTAGAAAGTTTGTGATGGTCAAAAGTAGGGGGTTCTATAAATCGACTTTCGAATAATCGAAAAATCGACTTTTTGTCGAAAAGTCGAAGTCGACTATTTTGTTCCAAAAAAGTCCATAACTCGACTATTGTCTGTGAAAAAAGTCGAAAAGTCGACTTTGTTAACAAAAGTCGAAAAAAGTGGATAAGTCGAATAAAATCGAAAAAAGTCGAAAAGTCGTAAAAAGTCGAAAAATCGGAAAAAGTCGAAAAAAGTCGGAAAAAGTCGGAAACTGGAAAATTGTAGAAACTAGTCAAAAATAGTCGAAAATTTTAAAAAAGTCAAAAATTCTAATAGTCGAAAAAACTTAAAAAAAGTCAAAAAATAGACGGAAAAAAGTCGAAAGAAGTCGAAAATAGTCAAAAAGTCGAAAAAAGTCGGAAAAAGTCGAAAAGTCGAAAAAAGTCGAAAAAGGTCGAAAAGTCGACTATTTATAAAATACTTATAGTCGATAAGTCTAAAAGTCGACTTTTAATTAAATGAAAAAAGTCGAAAAATCGACTTTTCATAAAATGCAAAAATTCGAAAAGTCGACTTTTAACTAAATGAAAAAAGTCGAAAAGTCGACTTTTCGTTTCAACTATAGAACCCTAGTCAAAAGTCGAAAAGTGGACTTTGTAAACAAAAGTCAAAAAACATATATAATAACATAATCAGTTTAAAATTTAAGACCTAAACAATATCGGAGAGACGATTTTTTGCAATTTATGAACATTTAACTTTCCATACATTTTTAATGTACAAAGAATTGATTTTTCGACTTAAAGAATTTTGAAATTATCAACTTTTTTCGACATATCTCAACTTTTTTCACTTTTGGAAAAGTCGACATATCAAACTGTTTTTAATATCGACTTTCGATTTTATTCGATTATTTTACTTTTTCCGAGTTTTCAACGTTTACCTAGTTTTTTCGATCCTTTTCGATTTTTGGACCTTTTTTCGTCTTGTATTGGAAGAAAATTTCAATTCGAATCAAAATAAGCTACGACTCTTCGATTTTTTCAGACCTTTGCCGACTTTTATATGCAAAATCGATTCTTAGACTTTTTTGTTACAAGATAGTCGATTTATAGACTTCTATTATTTTCAAGTAGATTTATAAAACCCGACCTTCTGATAGTCATGTAAAATTTAACAATAAATATATTATGCAAATTATCAACTAAGCGAACACAACTATTATTATAGATACTATTGTGAATGACAGATGGTATCAACAAAAAACAGCTGATTGGAGAAGTACGTGTCAAGCTATCAGAAACAGAATTCGTCAGAACAAAATAAAATTTTAAACTAAAGAAAAAAATAAAAATTAATTATATTTAAAAAGAAATAAAAATGGCTACATTAAATTTATTAAATCTTAATGTGGATACACTTTTCGAACAACACAGTGTGGTGGAAATTGATAGTGTACACAAGAAAATCCAAGAAGTTGTGGAAAATAAAAGGGAGGAACTTCGTACTATGGTAGGGTAAGTTTTTATTGAAGAAAAAAATAAGATGAGAATTGGCTCTAATACAATAATTAATGTTTTTATTTTAGAGAACGTTACCGGGATCTACTAAAAGCAGCTGATACCATTACCGCCATGCAAGATTCAACGAAAGCACTAATCACACAAGTTGATAATATCAATGGCAATTGCAAAAATCTCAATGAACAACAATTATTGGGTTTTAAAACGGAAACGGATAGTGCCGGCGAGCTAAAGAATCGTAATGCTAATAAGCAATTGAATAACTATTTCAGTACAATGATACAAATTAAGTTATTGACATCATTACCCGAACTAATATGGTCTCAACTGGATCGTGAACATTATTATGCTGCTACCGAACTCTTTATATTTAGTCGTCATATTAGCACGGGTCTACAGTTGGATTCCAACAATCCTATAATGCAAAAATTACCAGTAGCTAAAAAACAATGGGAAATTATTAAACCATTTCATATGACCATTAAACAACAGGTAATGCTTGCACTGGAAAGAGAAAATTTAGGAGCAGAACTTACCATTGATTGTATACTATCGCTTTTACAATTGGAACGTTGTACATTGGAAAGTGCTCTAAAGACATTTCTAAACTTAAGATGTACGGCTTTTCTAAATTGCTTAAATGCTGATAGTGGCAGGGTAAAGGAAAGAATTTTATCTAGTTTGCGGGTACTCAATGACAGTTTGGATATGGTGGCAAAATGTTTTATGGGTAAGAATACAAATAATATCTTAAGTTTAACAAAAACTGAAGCTTTTCATTTTCACTTTTAGATAAAAGTCCTTTGTTTACTAAACTTGCGGAATATTCAGAACCTAGTGCTCCACCAACAATAGTACGCATGGATAATGATGATGTACAATTTGCTCATCTTTTACCTGATATAATAACCAATTACAAGCCTAAATTTGATGCAGTTACTCTTAACAATGAAGCTGTACGTTTGAGTCTGGAACAGTTTCTTACTGATACTCAGCGTATTGCCAGCAAGCAACTTAAACAACTTTTCGATTTGGTTACTCATATGAATTCTATTCAGGACATAAAAACAGAAGCCAATAATCTAAAGAAACAACTCAATCTAAATGCTTTGACAACACAGTTTCAATTGACGCAGTCACTTGATTTCTATGAACTACGTTATGTTCCTTTAATAAATCAAAGAATACGTAATATAATAAACGATAGCTGGCTTAAAACTATTAACGAAATCTCTACAAATCTAGAAAATTGTGTAAAACAACCGGAAATAGTAAATATTAAGAACTATTCATTGTGGCAAGAATTTCCCACAGATTTACCCAATAGTTTAGATCAGGCTTTAAATGATGATTTAAAAATGAAAAAATTGCATATGAAATCGAAAGGCTATAACGCTGAAATTATAAAAATTGTTACAAAATTTGATGAAAATTTAGCCGGCATTATAAAAGAAATGAACGTTTTGCTAGAAGAACCCACAGCGAAACTCGAAGATAAACAGGCTTTAGTGGAATTTCTCAAAGATACTGCTCAACAGCATATAACGGAATTCATAACAAAAGTAAAGAATTTACAACTGGACATCAAAGAACATCAGTCTTTACTGTTTGTTACACGTTGCTGTTGTGCTTTGATAGAACTTTGTCCACATTTGAAAATGTGTTTCTGTCAATCTACAAGTTGGCGTCAATTACTTGGCACAACTAGCTCAAGTGCATCTATGGAATATTGGCAACGTATTTGTGGCTTAATGGAGGATGAAATCTATCAATTTTGGTTGCATATTATTAAAGGTTTATTGGAGGAATACAACTGTCAACGTTATTTGGCTAAAATCGATACGTGTAATGTAATGTTGGAAGATTTTACGGTAAGTTATATTTGCATAATTTGCATACAATTTTTAATCAAACATTTTCTTTTTTTCAGCATTGGGAACAAATAACCCTCGACCAAAAAGACGATCAGGATATGCCAGTACAATCAACATTCCGTATTCCTACACAACCGCGTATTTCCTTGCAGTCTTATTTACAAATTCTTATAACCTCTCTCAAAGAAATAGTACCCGAGACTCTGCCCACAAAAGTACTCAACACCTTTAATCATAAGCTAATAGAAGAACTCTTGAAACACTATCAACAGCTGCTAAAGGATTATCCCACATTAACACAAAATATTGCATTACAACTTTATTTCGATATTAAATTCTTACAGAGTTCATTCAATATAACTAGAGAACAAAAGGAGCAGATAACGAGCTTACAAAATGCCTACAAAGAACTTATAGATCCTTTTGATTTTGAACTATTTTCATCACAATTAATGACAAACATCAAAAGATCAGTTTTACGTTCGAATTGTCTTTTGGGCGTATTGACACCATTGAATATGCAAACATCTCAAACGGGTGCAGTAGCACAGGAAAAAGATCCGAATGTCTTAAGTTTATGCTCTAGTGGCTCGACTTCACTGTGGTTCCCGCTTTTGCCAGTAGTTACTAATACCACAAATGTGGCGACAACTTCTTTGGAAAGTAAAAAGGTTACTTTAACAGAATCACCCAAGGTAAGAGTTGTATTTTGTTTAAGTGTTTTATTTTAATATTTTCTTAAAATTATTTGCAAATTTTTAAAGGATTATTTGTTTGAAACATAAAATGTCATACAATTTGCAACTATATACAATTTTTTTGGGGTAATAAGAGTAGTAGTATAAGAAAAGTATTTGTTTTATATTTGCATGATTTAGAATGCGTTTTAATGGTTATTGACTAATACATTGAGTTTCATGCTGAAATTATGTTTATTTTTAATAAGCTTTTAACACGATATTCATAACACTTTTACCTGCAATGGGTCTTTATTTAATATAACAAGTGCAGTTTTTGAATCAACCCTTAAATCTAAAATAGCATTTTTAATAAGGGCTTGCATTTCAACGTCCAAAAGCCTGAAGTTGTCACAAAGTGTATGGGATTTTACTTTCACAGTCTTGATATATTTGATCGACTCTTTAAACTGGCAAGTTTAAACTAAGTTTCCTCTTTAATAAAGTTTCCCATTTGTGCAAATTTGCAAAATAATTTTTTTTTCACGTAGAAAAACTTTTATTTAAAAGGCCTTTGAAAACCCATTTATTTGATATACATAGTATGTATGTGTTATGTATGTCCAAAAGCCTGAAGTTGTCACAAAGTGTATGGGATTTTACTTTCACAATCCTGATACATTTGATCGACTCTT